AAAAAAACACCGTGGCAGATGTATTTTGATGTTTTCTAATTTTTGAATGGAAGTTCATTGTGCCTCAGTACAAAACTGTTGGCTTTCTTAATCTAACAACAATTGTCGTCCCCCTTTTGAATCCCGCTATTAAGCATTAATGAACTATAGAATTTATTTGGGTACAATTTACAGCAAGTTGCATAGCAAAATTTGCCTTATTTCAGTTTTTCTCAAAAATTACTCAAACAAAAATCAAAACCAAAACTTAACTTATTCTTAACATTTCCACAGCGTTACTGTTAGCCAGTAAAAGTAATATGATAGCCTCATCTAATAATTAATTTTAAAAAACCTAGTGATGCAGTGCAATTGTTGCATATATGCATATCCTACTTTAAATTAAAATTTTCAATTTCACGAGAAGCTTCAGAAGCTTTATTTAGCTTTTGAATACCCTAAAAAAGGATAATCTAGTGTTAGTAAATTCTTAAAATTTTTTGCTTTTTTTCAAGGGCTTTTTTACTACCTATAGCGCTACGTAAAAATGCTAATCCGCAGCGGTTGCAATGTATATGATTGCGGTTGCTATGTTTGTGCATTTACATTGTCCGCTTTCTATGGACAATCAATCAGAGGGTGTTTTACAAGTCAATACCTTAAAACACTTGCTGTAAAAATTTATATACCAATTTGAGATAACTTTGCGGGGTTATCTGAGAGAAGAAAAGTTTGAATATCTGAATATTTCCGTAGTTTCAGACGAACTTAAGTTCAGCTTAAATGTTTGACGATAGTATGTTATCTCTAATCAAATCAACACAATAGAATTTAAAAAAGGAACTCCAAAAATTAAAGAAAAAAAGGCCATATTCGCAAGTTATCAAACAGTTTCAGATTCACAATGGAACTCGAACAAATGGAAAATTGAGACCAGATTCTCAATTTTTCAAACAGAGCAAAGGGATTTGATATGCTGCTGTTTTACAAAAAAAAAATGAAAAATTTATGGTTAACTTTCAGCACCTTGAAAAAACTGCGTTCAATCTGTATAATTCAACTCTTTAAAACAGTTATACAAATTGTATTAAAAACGCTCTCTTGGCCAAACTTTATACCGGATGAAAGCAACTCGCCTCATTAAATTTTGACCTAAATTTAACAGAAGTAAGCTTATTTACCACTAAGCACTATCTTGACATGTAACAAATACGAGTAGTCATTATTTTAGGTTTTGTTGAGCGCAATAAGATACTCTAGCTTACAACTTTTCATTCAATCACTTGAGTGGGTTAAAAATTTCATTCTGTCTTTTCTACTTGACCAAAACCAGACCATGAGCAGCCTTCTTCCATTCTGAAACTGTATGACCCTATTTAAAATATTTATCTATGACTTGCATTATTGCTGAATGAAAATATACAGCCACATAGTGAAATTGTAATTTTTTACATTAAGCGGAATTCAGCAATTCAGCGTAATGAGTCTTTCATGTGAAAGTGAAAATTATTTTTTCGTTTTTATATGGCAAAAGCAAAAAATCTGTCCGAAAGTAACGGCCACAGTTTTCAACAATAAATACTTGAAAATAATTCATTCTACTGCTGATTATCTGTTAGGCTATTGCAACTTAGTTTATGGGTTTTTCTGATTTGAGAAAAGTTTTAGATTATTTGGTCTAGGGCAAATGCAAAAATTTATAGCGAAATTAAATTTTATTTATTTACCTCGACATTTACTTAGCCTTTATGACTTTACTATGCAACGATACAATGACAGAAAAAAAACACCGTGGCAGATGTATTTTGATATTCTCTAAATTTTGAATGGAGGTTCATTGTGCCTCAGTATAAAACTGTTGACTTTCTTAATCTAACAACAAATGCTGTATCCCTTTTAAATCCCTCCATTAAACATTAATGAACTATAGAATTTTATTCATGTACAATTTACAGCATGTTGCATCGCTAAATTTGCTTTATTTCAGTTTTTCTCAAAAATTAATCAAACCAAAATCATTATCAAAACTTAATTTATTCTTAACTTTTACTTTTAAAACATACCGCCATGTATTGAAATTGTAACTTTTTACCTTAAGGGGAATTCAGCGTAATGAAAATTTCATGTGAAGGTGAGGATTATTTTTTCGTTTTTATATGACAAAAGCAAAAAAATCTGTCCGAAAATTATGGCCACAGTTTTCTACATTAAAGATTTGAAAATTATTCTACTGCAGATTATCCGCTACTGAGGTTATTGCTACTTAGTTTATGGGTTTTTCTGATTTGAAAAAAGTTTTAGATTATTTGTTCTAGGACAAATGCAAAAATTTATAGCGAAAAAAAAATTTGATGTATCTGCCTCGTCATTTATTTAGCCTTTATGATTTTACCTATTCATAATGGAAGAAAGCTAGTCATAGAGTTTTCATTCAATCATTTAATTGTTTGAAAAGTATGGGTCTTATTTTGAGACTTTCATGATAAGCATCTTTCGTCAACGTGTTGGCTTATTTCGTCTGTCGTCTTCCTTTCATTTCGAACTCTGATATTTTTTTCAATTCATATTTTTATCTTCTTTTTCATCAATCATTATTTTACCCAATGAACAATTTTGTTTTCACAGAAGCCGGCTTTAGAAACGTGCTACGAGGACGTCAATTGTGCTCTATTGAATCTGCTTTTCTGGTTTCGAATTGCGTATTAAAGTTCTCATGACCACACGTTATTTAAACATGAAAAATGATGCTACTTTTTCAACTTTTCTTCAGAAAAAACTATTTGAAGTATGTGGATTTTTCTTTTATGGACCGAAAAGAAATATTGAAAATTACGCCAATCGAAGGCATGAACCGGTGTAGGATAACTAGAGCAATAATCAGAGGAAATCATCAGAGCGATTTTGTACGCCACGCCCTTTTATACAAATACGGAAGTTTTGGATTTTTCTTTTCATTTTCTTAAATTTTTCTTGTACGAATTTTGGAATGTTACTACTAAATAAAAAAGCTAATTCAAATGCTAACATTGTATCTATATTTTTAATGTCGTAGCAAATGGCGCCTTTTAAGCAGTGAAATTGATTCTAAAAGGCAATTCTTGATCCTTTTTGATACATGGCCTCAAGTCTTGGTAAAATTTTTCGCATTGGAATTTTATGGACAATTGTCAATTTCATTCGACTTTTAAATTTAAAAAAGTGTCATGATAATCAGTTATACTGCACTTTCGGACAACGCAACTGATTAAAAACAGTTTACATTCCAAAGCTGTCAACAAAATGAAATCGCTCAAGTTTTTTTGAAAAACCATCATGTTCAATTATAATGGACTATGAAACTTGCAAAACCTTTTTGGTTACATGCGACTTTTTTTATTTCTAAACCTACTCGCAATTAAATAATTCTACGAGTGGAAACGATAAACCTCACTCCTTTAGGCTTTTCTCCCAACTTTAACAACCATTTTACCAGTTTGTCCCAGTGATATATCACACCCCCCCCCCCCCACTTAATCCGCTCTCCCTCGCCCCCACTTACTCCCACCCGCATTGGACGCACATGGTTTCTAATCGATTATAATGGATTTTCAAGACAAAAATTTTCCGTTATAATCCATTACAGATGTAAAATTCAGACCACGAAATCGATTATATTGCCATTATAACCGACTGTTTTTGAAAAAAAATCCTTTAAACTTGATTATATTCCATCATTTTTGGCACTGAACTCGAATAATTTGCCATGATAATCTATTATAAATTGCTATTTTTGAAATAAAAATCCAGTAAAATCCATTTCCTTTTTAGAACTAAATTCGAATATTTTGCTGAAATTTGGCAAATTTTGCAAAAAAAAATTGCAAAATATCTGCCATGTCTTTTACTAAACGCCATTTATGTTTGCCATGTTTTTCCCATGCTTACATAAAACTTTTCTTCTTCTTCTTCTTCTTACCAACCACAACTTTATCCCGCAGAAATTTTTTTACCACCAGAATAGGTGGCGTTTACTCAACGTCACCCCCAAAATTTTTATTCCCCCCTCCAATTAACGGGGGCTAAACTGGAGAGACGGTGAGGGCGTTCAATCATAACCCCCTCCGATTGTGATAGAAAACACAATTATTAGAGACAAAAATTATAATCATTTTAATGTGAAATGTAACAATTTAAGAAACGCAATCCGTAGCAACTGCACTAAGCAGGAAATAAAAAAACTTTGAAAAAAAACGATTTTCCTAAATAACCTCCCAAAAAATTCATCAAATCCGATTATAATAAATTATAATGGATTCTATTGATATGAAAAATACTAGGATTATGCTCCATTTTGAATGATTTAATCAATTATTTTTTAACTTTGAAGTTACTGACCATATAATGACAATATAATCGACTATGATCCATTGGCATTCGGTTCATGCATACGCACGTTCAAATGTAGGGAAAAGCTTGTTTGTATGAGCGTGGAGGGGATACATATCAGTAAAAAAGGAGAACATCTTTGTGAAAAGAACACGAAACCAAATAATAATCTTCAAGGCAGACCTCAAGTAAATATCCATTAATTGCAATGTTCATTTTGAACATAATGAACTATTTTTAAAACTCAGAATTGGTTTTAAAAATTATCATCCATTTTATCAATTTTATTAAAGTATAAAAATATTTTTAAGAATGAATTAAGTTTTTTAAATGATTTAAAACTATAATCGATTTTCAATCTGAGTGAATTGGAATCCCTAAAAAAACTGTCCTACGTGTCACACGCATTTAAATAGAGTATAGATAGATATAGATTTATCTGAAGCTATGTACTCAACACAATTTTGTACAGTGGACTAAAACTTCCTCAGAAAAGTTGTATGAAAAACCCTACGAACTTTATAGTGAGCAACTTTGAGCACAAAATTTAGCTTTTTGTGCCATATGTGGATAGGGGTTAATTTAAGAGTACTCTAACTGCGCGCTTTTAAGTAAAGTTTTTAAAAAGAAAAATCGACATCAATTTATTGGTCACATATTTGAATAGCAAGCTCTCCGAAACATAACAAACAAAGGAAGTTCAATTCATTTTATTTTAACAGGACTATAACATTTCCGTTTCGATTTTTTTAGTTTTGAAAACTGTGCTTTCTTGAAAAGCAAAGCTGAACTTTCGATCCAGAATTCCTTCGGGACATTTTCTAGCGCAACCTTCTTAACCAAGTCGTGAACGTCAGCTGATATCCATTCGTCTGAAATTATTCCTGCCGGAAACCAACGTACTAGAACTTCGTTTTCTTCAACTGTTCCAAGATTAGCGTTCATACCTTTAATTGCCCTCGTGCCTATAATTTTGCCACGCAACCACACAAAATCAGGTGATTTCGGGTCAAACTCAATCAAATTTGAAATTCTACTCATCGTGTTTTTAAGTTTCAGCGCAAACCTTGCAGTGTTTATTTTGTTTTCTTCCATTTTCATCAATCTTGCTGTCAACTCTTTTTCTTCTGTTGGTTTTTGTTTTTCTGGCGGGTATTTAACTTCAACTTTTGATATTTTTCTGGGCGACTTTTTGGTAACGGCAGGTGAACCACTTGACGAAGAAATTTGCCGACTGAGACTGAAATTCTCGCCAATCTTTCTGCTTGCTGAATGGGAACTTCCAACTTTATTTTGTTGTTGTTGTTTGTTTTTACGATCATGTTGGTCCATGTGTTTACACAACTCTGCACCTTGATTTGTCTCGAAGACGCAATTATGCATGCGACATCTGTACTGTTTCTCTTTCGTGTGGATGCTTCGAACGTGTTTTGACAATGCCTCCAAAGAATCGAACTGCGAGTCATATTTCTATGCAGCAAATGATTGATTTTTTAAAAAAAAATTAAGAAATCATACTGTCTCTCAAATCTTATAGATCTTAAAACTTTTCCCGCCAATGAAACCAGACATAGATTCTCCACCATCAATGATGAACTCAAGCAAAAATTCGGCATCCGAGAAATAACGGCCTATATTAGCAAAAAAACTCCAGGGTCAAATAGCCAAGTCTGGAATGTGAGGAAAGAATTCTAAACGGACTTAAGCAGGATCAACAGCCTTTGATAGTAAACATTATATTCGCCAAATTTAATACAAGGTTTGTATTTAAAAAAATAACCCTTAATAACCTACTCAAAAACCTTACTTGACGCCCAGCAAAGGCATAAATAGCTACAGAAGTTTTCCAGTTAGTTGGAGAAAATTATCGATTCCAACTTGTGGTGGCATTCAAAAAACGCTTTATGAAATCTTTTGCTAATAAGACCTACGACAAAATATGATGACACAGACATTGAAACTACTTTTGGCCGATCGTCATATTTGCATATGATCGTTTCAAGTATTTTTTCAAGGACGAATCCCCCGTTTCCAATAAGGGGGGAAGAGATTTATCAAAGACCTCAAATAAATCAGTGCCATGATCATTGTCATAGATAATAAAAAGTAGCTTTTAGACTTCTAATTAATCTTGATTGTTTTCAAACTTACTCTACATTTTTTCCATTTGCACTTCAGCTCGTGAACCTTTCGTTTCCTACTCGGACTAGAACCAGAAGAACCCCCACTACTGCTGCTTTTCACGGGCGAAAGTGAACGACTCTTCAGCCCCGCGACGTGAACTTCAGACACGTGGTCGTAAAAATCGAACATTACTTCAGTCGTGAACGAACATCTATTCCAACAACATTTGAACGAATTCAAATCAACCACATCTGGTTTTTGTTCACGTGAAATTGATGACAGTTCGTTTTGTAATTGCAATTTGTCTGTTGATTTTGATTCGGTTTTACTTGAATTTGGTTGACATCCATTTTCATCCTTTCTTATAGCTTCTGGCTAAAAACCAAAAAAAAAATCGATCAAATTAAAGAAAAAGTTAAATTAATTCAATTTATTTCTCAAAAATAATTGTAAATCTATGAAACACATCAAGCTGCTAAGCAGTTTTATTTGAACTTTTTAGCAATACAATACGAAATATCATGAAATTAATTTTTCATACCGCGTTATTCGTATTTTACAGAATCTTGTTGAAAGAAACTAACTTTGCAATCATCGTCTCCATTTTTTTCTTCTTGGAAATAATCATTGAAGAAAGCTTCCAACTCCTTCAACTTCTGACTGCCAGCAAACATTTTCTCCCAATCTTAATCTAAAACTTGACTTTTTGTAGCCCATTTTAGCTGTTTATAGAAACTTTACAGCCCTTCGAATGGAACTTTACAGCATTTTCCAAGACAACTAATGGAGAACAAATTCATTCTCATTTATTATTCTCAATGGCGTACAAAACAAGTTTATGCGTATATTTTTTTTAGCTTTGGGCAAAAATTGTTTTGACACTACAAGACAAGATAATTAATTAATTTCCAATTAATAATTTAATTATTATCATATGGCAGTAAAGTAAGGCAAGACTTCCTTAGGGATTCCTTGTATGTAAGTTTTATTACTATATTACACTGTTAAGACACAAGTAAGACCAATGAACAGATGTCGCGATAATCAAATTTACCATTTTCACCAAAAAGAACCAATTTTAGTAACTGTCATGAACTAAGGAAGATACTACACATGAATGACCTCGAAAGGAGAATTAATGACTGTCATGACTATCAAAAATTTTAACAGGTATATTGAAAGTTGAAAATTAGATTCTTTTTGGTTTTTCAGTTTATTGATACACCTGTCTATAGCACGATCCATTGTGAAAGAAAATGATAAACTACTTGTTTTTATTATATGAATTTGCTAGCCCCTGTGATTGAGTGGAAACTGAATGGAAAAATTATAATTTGATAAAGTGAAGACAAAAATTTCGGTTTGTTTTTCTCGATCACCATATAACTAAGAAGAAGAATTTATTCCTCAAAACTTGCCAACAACAGGAAACAGTTGAAACTAAAACACTTAACAAAAAGATTACAAACTGTACTAATAGCTTCCATAAAAAACATGAGCTAGATCCCTTGATTTTAATTGAGCCTCGAAGAAACAGATCTACAAGGCTATAGAATCTTTCTTAGAAGCGTTTCGATTTGTTTATTGGTTTTAAAACTTTTCGTAAGAATGATAAAACCGGACTTTTTTTCTTCCCAGGCCGAAGTGAGCGACTTATAACTGAACTAAAGCGTTTCTAAAAAAATGTTAGATTGCATATTGGCGACTCATAATGGGTATCTCGCGATTTTGGCGCTTGAAGAAACAAGTGTCATATGATGATATAATCCGGTAAAGAATGTTTTGGCATTCTAATTCAGTTTAAAAAAAGAAGAGAACATAGCCAACAGACATTTGGAAAGTAGCCAATGAACAAAAAGAAACAGAAAAAAACACTGGCTTGTTTTTTTTCGAAAAAATCTCAGCTTTCAAATACATGGCCTTAAAACTCTTTGAAATTCTATTAACATTAATTTATGATGGACATTTTTCAGATAAAATTAACCCAAATTGAAAAAAAAACTGGATCAAAAAGAAGTTTTTTTTAATTCGCTAGGAAATCTGAAACTTAAATTCCATCTTTTTAAACTAGAAGTCGATCATGTTTTTCGTGACTTTTACGCTTAGGCTGTTCGATAAGGAGTTTGCTTTCCTTTTAACAGAAGAAATGAAATGAACTTACAAAAAAAATCAAAAGTCACGCCACGAAAAAATAAATTTGATCTTGAACATTTTAATCCTGAAAATTTAACAAAAAAATCACGATTTAGATTACTATAATCAGAAGACTAGTTCCTTAACTATGAAATTATTTTTCTCAAAGCGAATCCCTTCCAAGTCTAATAATTGATAGAAACTTGGTTTTGTCAGTTTGACAAATAAACAAAGAAATACCACCGAATTGACCAATCAGGCTGTTGTCGAACTTCCAGGGTAATTAACATACAACAGAACTTGGGACCAATGTTATGAAAATCGTGAAAAAATCCCGCGGCTTCGTCTTAAATTGCATGCAGTCGTAATATTACCAAAATTGCATCCAGTCGGAACCTTGAAAAATTGTAGATGCCAATAAGACCTCCATATGGTCCAAGTTTGACGGCATAGTCATAATTCATATCATTTTTACTAGAAAAGAAAAACAGAACCCGCGGCCAGAAAAAAATTTCAAGAGTTGAAAAAATTTTCCGGATTGGTTTTTTCTTTACAGTCAAATAAATCTCATGAATGATTTTCATATGCGTTGAAGGAACTCTACGTTTTTCCAATTTCATTTTGTCATTTTCTAACGCCCCGCGGACCTTTTGAACTTCAAGCCAAGGAAAGAAAAAGTAACCTTCCAGATACGACTTACTCAGTCCTATATCTCGGTGGTAGATATTTAGATAGATCACTGGTAGTTGTTAGTATTTCGACAGTCTTTCAAAGCAAAGTAGTTTTTTTGGTCCAACCTCTTCTCGATCATCATACAGTCAAAATCGATTGAGTAATCGAATCGGTTTTCATAAGTAGTTATGTTTAGATAAGTAGCTTTCCCATACTTTTGTTTTGCATACAAGCAAAAGATTATTTGCAAAAACTCGTCTCTTTTGCTATTTTGTATTTTTAATACAAAAACAGTTCAAAAAAACGTGGAAAGCTAGATATTCCTTATCAATATCCTCAGAGTTCTAATTTCCTATTAAACTAAATTTGCTCGTTTCATTTTCCCACATTTTTATCATTATTCTACACCAGCTCGACCCTAAAACTAATATAGCAGCCTGGAGAGTGCTTATCATCAATACCAAATTTCCTCTTTCTAAGAAACATTTCAAGTTATGGACATAACCCTGCTCCAGGAGTCTTTTCCGATGTAGTCACTCTGCTCCAAAGTTTGATTTTGAATCTCACTTTAGACATGTTCCGGCCATCCTAAAGCTCTGAGAACAACTGCAGGCGGTTTTTAAAGTTGTAGCAAGGTAATTTTAATGAATCTCCAAAAATCATGAATCTTTTCTGATATCATTTTGAAACCGTCAAAAAATTAACTTAAGCAACAATTTTTTTTGGCTACTTTTAATATATTTTGTTGAGAAACCCAGCTCAACACCTACACGAAGAAACCAATTATACTAAGTTTGGACAAATATATCTACCCAACCTTGGATGTTAAGAAACTGAGCCAAAGTTGAGTCTAGGACTATAAATTAAGGTAAAAAAAGGAGATTAAAACAAACACAGCGTTGTACCCCATATGACAGAGCTTTCCAGCCATATCTTTACCTTAAAAATTGTTAAAAAATTCAAACACAAGTCTTTACATGTCGGGTCACACACATAGGTTGAAAAATAAAACTCGATAAATTAGTCGACTTAAAAAAAATAAATTTTTGACTAATGATCCAAAAATCTGAAAATAATAGTGTATGGATTATTTTGGACAAAGAACGCACCCGAACAATGTTGATCTTGATAGCGAAAGGGAACGCGTGGTGGATACTTATGGCTGCTCCAAATCGCGAGCTGGAGCCAATAAACTTGAGACTTCTTAAGTCGGACTTGGCAGCGGCGTGGGCAGATGTATCTCATGCTTTGAGGGGATTCTACGAATTGGCGGATATTCTGATTGTGCTGGAAGAAGTCGTCTTGAAAAGCCGAAACTCGCTCGGCAACTAAATTTCAATCCAGAAATAAGGGATGACCAACCGGTAATTAGCCACCTAACAGCCAGCCTGTGGTTTCGGAGCATGGATCTGACAATCACGAGCTCCAACAGTGAGGCGAGGGGACCGAGCAACGAAAGGAAAAATGTGGCTGCGGCCGAAAAGCAGTTGGAATCGACGGGGTACCGCTTTACGCAAGAGAGAGGCAGGTGGCCCTTTCTGAACCCAAGGCTTGAGAATGCCACAGACAAGACGCGGGAGAGTGCTCCACCTCTCATCAAACAGATATGGGAGTTTCTTGAGGGGCAGCTGGAATTGGCAGAAAACAGAGAGATGACGGTGGCAAGGTTTGTCACAGCGGCAAATGAAGTCACCATTGGAGGGTTCTGGAGGGAGCACGCGAAGGGCGAGGTGAAGACCAGAAAGAACCACAAAATCTTGAGATTCTTAAGCCCATGCTGGGAGAAGAAGTACATGGGCAGAGTGTTCTATGCGGGGGATGCCATCTTCGATGCGTTCGTGCAGGAATTACTAAATATGCCCATTAACCTCTTACTGGCCCTGTACTTGGTCTACATCAGGTATCTGTTCAATATGGGCCCGGACTACATGTTCAGCAGAGGTGTGGAAACCCTCCGAATTGACGGATACTTAACGCTGATACTCTTGACCCATGGAGAACTGATGGCGTTTCATCGACTGATGAAGTATGGGGAACCCCTGTCGATAAGGAAGGCTCACCCAAGTGTGGAAACTTATTCATACAAGTGTGCTGCCGGGCTGAAGACGTTGCTGGTGGAGTATCTAATGCAAAATCGATACCTGACGGGCGAGGAGAGAAATCCCAAGACGAGAGAAGAGTTGAAGGAGGCGAATGGAGGCATACCTCTCTTGACTGATTTGTGTTTGGCCATGAGATTTGACTCATTAGGGATGATTAGGGGGCTTGGAGAAGCCGTGACCTGCATCTACGGGCCGGCGGTAACATACGCCTTTCCTGATCCGCTCGTGACGGCATATCGGCATTCAGTGATGCACGTGAGCCTAATAAGACTTTTAGATAGGACGGAGCTGAACTGGTGCATGCAAGAAGAGTTGAGAGCGCGGATGAGCGACACGGTACTTTTTGGGAAAGTGAAGGGCCCAGAGCTGATGGTGCTCAGCTTCCGGGGACAACTGCAGTGCAGAACGGGGGGCAAACGTGAGGGTCCCATCGAGGCCTACCCCAAGTTCTGGAACTTGAATCCCGTGACAGGGGACAAGGGAGAAGTCTTGAGAATCCCGGCGCCGAAAGGGAGTTTAGAACTGGTGAAAAAGGAGTTAGAAATATACTTGAGCGAGAAGTTCTGCCCACTACCGTCCCTGAATTCCCGCTGGTCAGAAGAATGACCCTGGGGATGAACAGCCCTTTGGTGGTCCCGTCCCTACACGCAAGAGCCACTGTGGAAATGCAGCAAAAAGAGTTTACGAACGGTTGGGATCCCTTGTTCATTGGATAGTCAGCCGCAGTTTATTTCCACACATGTGACATCCAAATAAACTCGTGGACGACACAGGCAATGAAGATGAG